GAGAAGGATAACAATCTTTGGCCAAATGCCTAAACAAAATGCAACCAAAGCATACCACCACACCCATGCCATTAAGCAAATACCATTCAAAAACAAAGCCCTCAAAAGAAGGCCTTATCGAACTACGGTTGACTTTGATCTTCCATTCAAATGGAAGTACGTAGGCACGTTCGGGATTTCACCCCGGGTGGCAAGTCGAAATCACTTAAACATTTCATTGATCCATCATTCACCCTTGCAAAACACTCATTCATCGGTTAGTTTATCAGCATGACATAGTCTCGGGATCCACCTCGATTTCGTAGATTGTGCCTTAATCATTGGGATAATTAATCTAGTAACTAGGTTAATTAAAAATGGAGTCATTCAGGTTTTTTTCCTAGTTTACCCTAAAATAATTAAACAAGGTGGCGACTCACACACTCACGCCGACTCACACATATCACGTGTATTTCTTCTCATCATCATATGCATTATACGCCTATGTGCTTTCGGGGAGGGGGTTCACAATTTGATCTAACAAATCAGGATAAGAAAGGTGCTGAGAATTTTTGTAGCTGATCAATTTTGAGCAGGTTGGTGGACACAAGAGGAATCTACAAGAATTATTTCCTGATGAGCAATTGTTTAAATTACAAGGTATGATCCCTTGGTATGCTGATTTGGTGAATTATTTGGTTACTAAGACTATGTCTTTTGATTTAAGTAGAGCTAAAAAAGAAAAATTGAAGAGTGAATCTAAGTATTATGTATGGGATGAACCATATTTGTGGAAATTTTGTTCTAATCAAATTATTAGGAGATGTGTCCCTGATAATGAGATTGAATCAATTCTTGTTTTTTGTCATTCATTTGCATGTGGTGGTCATTTTGGACCTAAGAGAATAGGTAGAAAGATAGTGGATTGTGGTTTTTATTGGCCTACCATTTTTCATGATGCATATATTTTCTGTAAAAATTGTGAACAGTGTCAAAGAACAGGAAGTATATCAAGAACAGGAAGTATATCTCGAAGGAATGAGATGAGTCAGACCCCAATACTTGTATGTGAAATTTTTGATGTGTGGGGAATCGATTTTATTTTAATGGGTCCAATTTCCTTCTTCTTTTGGTTTTTTACTTATATAATTTTAATTGCTGTTTGATTATGTTTCCAAATGGGTGGAAGCTAAAGCCACCAGAACTTGATGATCTAAAGTTGTTGTAGATTTTGTCAAGTCAAATATTTTTTCAGCAAGTTTGGAATTACTAAGAGCCTTTGATCAGTGACAGAGGCAACTCATTTTGCAATTAGAGCTGTGGAGGCATTATTTAAAGAACATATGGTTGTTTTTCATAAGAGTTTTCTACAGCCTATCATCCTCAAAAAGTGGGCACGCTGAGGTATCAAACAGAGAGGTGAAAGTCTATCCTAGAGAAGATGGTGAAGCCAAATAGAAGGGATTGGAGCCCTTAGACTTGATGATGCTTTTGTGGGCTTACAGGACACCTATAAAGAACACCCATAGGTATGTCCCCCTTACAGGTTGGTTTTTGGTGTCACCTTCCTGTTGAGATAGAACATAAAGCTTTTTGGGCTGTTAGAAATTGTAATTTTGAGTTAGATGCTGCTGGTGTGGAAAGAAAGTTACAATTGCAGGAGTTAGAGGAGATTCGTCTTGATGCTTATGAAAATTCTAAGATTTATAAGGAAAAGACAAAAGCATTTCATGATAAACTAATTTTAAACAAGGAGTTTGTGGTTGGGCAAAAAGTTTTATTGTATAATTCTAGATTAAAGTTAATGCCCGGTAAGTTGCGTTCTCGTTGGATTGGTCCATTTATTGTTACTAATATGTTTTCTTATGGTGCTGTTGAGATTCAAAGTTTAGAAACTAAGAAGGTGTTCAAAGTCAATGGCCATAGACTCAAGCCATTTTATCAAGAGCATTCACTGGAAGAAATCAAATTGAGTGATCCAATTTATTTAGATTGAAGAAGATGCTATGACCATGTCGAGCTAACGACGATAAAAAAAGACGCTTTTTGGGAGGCAACCCAGATTTTTGCTTTATTTTATTTATTTATTTATTTGCAAATAAATAATGTCATCTTCCTCCTTTTGCTATATATTTATTATCTGGATTCTTTTAGTTACTCTACCCAGGTATGTTTTCTGATATTCATTTCGGATTGTTTTGGTTCTGTTGCAAATTATACAGGTTTAAGGAAATTCTGAATTTGGGATAAATGTTTTGTGAATGATTAAATGGTTTATTTGTGATCAAGTTTTTGTTGAGTTAGTAGATTCAGTCTTATAGGTTTGTGCAGATTCCTCAGAATTTAAATATGACTGAATACTGATAGGAAATTCTGCTTTTATTCATTGACTTGATTACTTACACTGAGACCGCACTGCCATTATTCTGTTCTCATATTATTGCTAAAATTGGATTTTCGTTAGTATATTAGGCATTTTTAGTTTTCTTAGGTTTGTGCAGATTCCTCAGAATTTAAAGTTCCTAAGAAATTAGTTGATTTGTTAGTTCTCTGCTATTTCCTTGAGTTAATTATTGACTCGGAAACGGTTAAGCTTGTGTTGATAATTTGTGCCTAAATTTTGAATGAATGATGTTAGGGTATTTGAACATTGGTAAATGACGATTTTCAGGTTGCAGGCCTGGATAGGTTAACAATGTTTTGCATATGGTTGAATATTGTTAATAATTTTGGTCGAAAAAAGTGGACCAGCCATTCACTTGTTTGCTTGTTTGTCTGGCTTGTGTTTTTGCATTCTCTTATTCTGTAGCAGGTACCGCTTTACCGGACAACACTTGGCTTTTGGTTGCAATTTATTTTTTGATGAGTAATTTCAAGCGAAACAGGGCAAGTTTTTCCCTATTACTCTTGAGACCTTCCTCTTGTGATTTAATTGTGAATTTTGTCCCATTGAGGACAATGTGTAGAGGTAGTGTGGGGAAAGGGTTATAATTATTAGGGGTGTTTTTTTTTTTTTCATGATTTTTATGCTTCATGGTAAATTAATGCTGCTGAATTTATGATGGCATATTGTTGAAATTTTGAGCTTTCTTTTGTTAAATAGCTATTGCCATACAACTTATTTTGCTCATTTGTTTCTGCTGCCATTTGATTGTGACTGGTTGAGTTAGATGTCAGGCACTTATCCCATGAATTTTGAGTAAAATTTTTGTTTGATTAAATGATTTGAGCTGATTTTTGGGATTACTCCAAGGGTTTATTGTGTCCTTTAAGTAAGACTTAAAACTCTAATTTTTACGAAAAACTAAAGTTGCAAAGAATTTTATTCTTGGCTTTGAACAGTCCTTTGAACTAGGTTGAAAAGCAATTTCAATTAGTCTAACTAAGTCACTTTACTAAGTCACTTTGACTGTTTTTGACTCTTGTGCATTTTTGAATAATTTGTTAAATTTTTTACTCTTTTAGTCTTAGAATTTGAGGCTTGAGTTTAATTTTTATTGAGCTAAATTTTGACCGTTACTTCTAGAATTCTTGGTAGGATACCTAGGTACAAATATGAGCCTTTTATGTGTATGTGTTTTTGAGTCAAGAGAAAAGTCGAAATGAGTCAACAAGTGTAAGACTTGTAGCAGTCGGATCGCTTCGCTGCCCAATAATAGCAGTCGGATCGCTTCGCTACCCAATAATGGGTAAAGAGCAGTGCTAGTAGCCACTTGAGCTCGTGACTTCATATACCCATAAGCGGGTACCATTGATGACAACTCAAGCACACGATAAATGCTCAAGCTTCTTGAAAGAAAGAAGAAAAAAGAAAAAAAAAAGAAAAAAAAAGAAAAAAAAAAAGAAAGAAAGAGTAAAGAGTTTTCTTTTGTTTTTATTTAGTCTTTGCATGTATGGTCGCGATGAATTTTTGTACTTTGGTGAGTTACCAAGTAATTCTTTGAGGAACGGTTATGAGGAACGGTTATCAACTTTTTGTTGTATGTGCTTAATTTTATATATTCAAGCCTTGGATTTTATGTTTAGGAGAGTCTGAATTCGACTTATTAGTCTTGCTTGCACTTCATTCAAACTTAGTCAATTTAACTTTGCTTAGTAATTGACTTTATTTTTCCGATTGTTCTCATAAGGATTGTTTAGGGTCGATGTGAAAGAGGTTATCAAGCAACCTTCTCCGTGAGAGAGATTCTAATGTCTTGAATTGAGTTTCTGTACTCTGCCAAAAATAGAAAGGGTTGAGGTTTGATAAGTGCATTATAAAGTGCTTTTATTGTCTATATTCATATGCATTTTTGGGTTATTTATGTGCTTAATTCACTTTGTTAGACAATTTTTACCAATTAGACATTATTTTAGTTGCATTTGGAGTAATATGATTGAATTGGTAAAATTCAAGCATTTTTTTTATCTTGATCCTTGTTCGGTTTTTCAGGGATATCTGGAGTTGTAGACCTTCAAATTGGATTCCGTTTGATGCGCTAGAAAGATGAAATAAAGTTCTACAATTGTCAAAGAGGAATCAAAAGCTAATTCAGTCTCAATATTGATCAAATTCAGCTTTGAATTTTGAAGCTATGTGCTGTATAACTGAGCACAACCTGTTCTCTTGTGGACTTCATATCTGGTGGAAGCTATGTGCTTTAGTTTAATTAATTAATTTTCTTTTTGAACTGTTAAGTTGAATTTTTCACAAACAAACCCCCCCCCTTTTTTAAACACAAAAATTAAGATTTCAGTCTCTAAGGTTCGACCTGAATTCACCGTTTTGAGCAGAAATATCTGCTTCAACTTGATCTGGTTTTTTAGGTCTATCTTCTGCTGTGAGTGTCCGTTTTTGGGCGAGCCTTAGTTCGTTAGAAAGATGAGAAGGAGATCTGCAAGTTTGTTGAAGAAGTCAGAATCAAAATCGAAGCGGAAGATGCTGAAAAACAGGGGAGAAATCAGAACAATAGGTGCAAATATTTTTCTGTTTACTGCTTTGAATTTCCCATTTGATTAGGGATTCTTTTCCCTTTTTGGAGGTGTTATATAGGAGTGATTCCTACAGCAGCTAGGAGCACAATTTTTTTCTTCTCTTAGTTCCATCTAATTAATCTTAGTTTTTGTTTCTTTATTCTTTGTTTTGGGTGATTGGAAGCCAATGATTAATGAGTGGCAATTGGCTTGTACATATCAATTCAAGGGATTTATCATCCTTCGCAACTTTTGTGAGAAACTTGGGTTTTAAAAATGAGTAGTTTCTTCTTGAATATTTGTTGTTTCTTGTTCTTATTGAGTTGATTCCTATTGAATTCTTTGCTAAAAAGGCCTATTATGAATTGTTTGGTAGGATTAAGTGCTATTTTCAGATTTCATAATCGTAATTGTTATGAAAAGTTTGAATGTTAGTAGCAATTGATATTATGGATTATATTCAGGTTTTCAGTAATAACTAATAGAGACATCGGGTTGAATTAAAATGGTTTATGCTTTATAAATTGTTGTCAAGTTTAAACTACTTTCTGATTCTTATGCTTTTTATTAAATTGTAAAGGGATTGCTAATACCCGATCGTTTAATAATTAGAGTTAATGAGGGTGCTGGGCTTAAGTTAACGAAATAGGGGAGTTTTGGGAATTTATCATGTTTTTTGGTAAATTTCAGTTAAGTATTCAAAGAGTAATTAAATCATAAGTTGTCTGTGATCAATTGTGCATTGGATTAGAAATCACCTTGAATTGGTTTTCATCAATTTGCATTACTACTTTAGTTTAATTAATTAATTTTCTTTTTGAACTGTTAAGTTGATTTTTTTTCACAAACAAACCCCCCCTTCTTTTTAAACACAAAAATTAAGATTTCAGTCTCTAAGGTTCGACCTGAATTCACCACTTCTACAGTTAAATAAATGATCAATTAGCATGCACAACCATACATATATATGGAATAAGCCAATAAGGATCGTGTGTTATGGCTATGTTTGAATTGATAAATAGTTACAAAATTTGATTATTTTAAGAATTTGATTCCAATCTAAATGAAACCAATCAAAAAAGCCAAAAAATAAAAACATCAGCGTATGGTCCAAAACATTAATTAGATAGGTGTTAGACATCAAAAATTGAAGATCGAGAGAATTTGAGAATTTGTTCCCTTTCTAGGTTTAGTTGGAGATATATGTATTAGGAGATGAGTAATCATAGTAGAATAAGGATAGAAAGAATCTTAAATTATCTGTTAGTTATATTTTATTTAGGAATATAATATCCTTTGATATATATATATATATACTACTCTTTTATATATCAATAATATTAATGTTCAATTATTAATATTATTAGGAGTCCAGCAAAAGATGTTGGTCATTTATATCCAACAAATGTTATAGCTGGTAGAGTATTGTGTGGTTGAGTTACTTAAACTAGAATGAACGGACAGCTTTAAATCTGAATAGGTGGACTGAATCTGTTTAAATGTTAAGCTGCTTCAGCTCGATGTGAATTGCTTTAAGGTCGAATTTATTGAGGACTGTTTAAGTTTGAATTCATTGAAGACTGCTTAAGTCTATTTTTATTAAGGACTCATTGAGTCTGAATTTATTATGTACTGCTTGAGTTTGAATTTATTGAGGACTGATTGAGTTCGAATTTATTATGCACTGATTGAGTTTGAATTTATCGTAGACGGCTTAAGTCTGAATTTATTGACCTCCATTTGGTTGTGCTACCTTATAGCCAGTACAAACAATGATTCTCTCTGCGAGGAAACATAGTCCCATTGCTTGAGAATTGAAACTCGTCCCCTCCAAGCCCAAAACTTTTCTACCATATATATATATATATAAGGTAGCCATATATATATATATATATATATAAAGGTAGCCATATATATATATATATATATATATAAGGTAGCTTGTATTTTATAAAACATCAAAAAGGTATGTTCCATGTTCACTGCATCATTTGTTATCCATTAGAAACTGAAGATCGAGCGAATTTGAGATTTCGTCCCCTT